GATCACACCTGACACCTGAATCTTGCCTGTCCAGCTCTCAAAATCATACGTATTCTATTGCCTTCCATTGACTGATCTGGCTGGAACGACAGCAAAAGCGCAAACCCGACGCAAACGCGCTGGAGAGTTGGTGCTCACAACTCCTCATGACAAGCTACTTCGACATCATCTCAAATCTCCATCATCTTTAGATTTCCGCCTCCTTCTGTGCAGTCTCAGCCTCCTTCGGCTCCTGTGTTTGTTGTAATTTTGTTGAGTGACCGGACATGCAAATGAAGGCAGCCGTGAAAACCAAAAAGACCTGTCCAACCTGTGGCTGGTTCGGAATTGCCAGTGCACTGGGAAGGAACATCAATAATTAGGTGGCTTGCCGGTTCTCCCTATGTTGACACATGCTTATTAAATTACAGTGGATTGAGAGTAGATGGCACAATCACCAAAAGGTGGTCTATATGGATCCCCATCGAAAAGACATCTTGGGGGTTGCGCCATCTACTCTGAAATTACTGTAACAATATTCATCCATATTCACCCTAAATTTCCACTCGTGAGGTCCAAGCACCTCCTCCTCTGCTCTGTGTGTTATTTGTGCGAGTACATATGAAACAGGAGCGACTCCGAAAGCAAATGGTCCTGGACCGCAACTCCTAGCTGCACGTCTTTAGTAAAGTTGAACCAATACGAACTAGTCTCATCTTGAGATCAACCTCTCAACTGACTGAAAAAAAGGAAGCCATTTCCTTAGGCTGTCACCTTGACAATGCTCCAGTAGAAAATCATTTCCCTGGGTTTGACCTGCCCCAGAAATGCTCCAGGGGTATAGGCAGGGTGGGTCGGATGCAGTGAAGCATCCTGAACTCTACATCCACGGCTTGCCAACCCATCTGGAAATTCAAGTGGCTGTATCCCCTCCCGAACCAGGGTAGGTTGACCTCCTTGATAGTCCATTCTGTTCATTTTTGGTGGTCCACCCAGGTAGGCCCGGCGTCATGACCCAAACACCACGGATGCGCTAGGACCCTCGAGGGTCCTCTGGCAAGGTGCCCAAGTTCTCGAGGTCCGGTTGAGGCTCCAGGGCCTCAGTGTAGAGCCATGAGGACAGCTACAAAGTAGGGGTCGGCGGACCACCAAAAGCTAACCCCAGAAAATATGGGGACATCATCTGTACACTTCCACAAATCTGTATGTTTCGCGTGAGGGAATGTTTGATTCTGCTTTTGGATGATCCATGAGGATCCGAACCGATCCTCCTTTGGCAACCATTCTCAGTGGGCCCAGCTAACTGGCTGGAATTGGGAACGTCATGAACTAACTGGCGTTCACCTCGGCATCCTTGACTCCACACAGCACCTGTCCCGAACACACGTAGCCGTGACTGGGCGAGCCATTGCATGTCGAAAAAAACAAGAACTGACAACAACAACCTACCCTCCCTGAAACAATCATGGCAGCGGAATACAGCCTGTTCATAGAGGAAAACGTTCTTCCTTCGGGGACATGTTCCACGTAACCATGTTTGAGTGGCGGATCCCTTGTGTGAATGCTTGGGGCTGTATCTCGTCTAGCTGTTCCACCCCCTCTCCGCCGACCCTCTCTCTCCGCCGAAAAACAGTACATCGTTTTGGGGCGATCATCCAAGTGACCTCTTCCTCATCTGCATCAGGATAAGAATCCAAATACTTGAGCTCTTCGGCAGTGAACATGAACCTCATGGCCTGCCGAAGCGAAGGTACCAAACCGAAACATGGTGGCTCAGGTGCAGCATGGACTTTGTAGGAAGTTGGTGGGGAGGGCTTCGTGGGGAAGGCTGGAATGATGGATTCCACAATCCGCTTCGGCGTCCGAGATGTACTTGCGAGTCTGGCGGAGGGTGGCCGGATGATTGTTTGACTCCCAGAAGAGTCGGGGGACACTTATTTCCTACAGCTTCCTCTGTTTGAAGCCAATGAGTGAGAACACATTTGGCTGCAAGTCCTTGTGCCACAGAGTGGATGGGGCGAGTGTCACATGACGACCATAGCTTCGAATTGACCGGAGTTCCCCCACGTTCTCTGTTTCAACCACAGTTGATGTCTGGAACTCCGATGTCAGTGGTCAATTTGTCATATACTACCCACGGGTGTCATAGGAGTTAGACAACATATGCCGCAGGTGTCATATAACTCCTGAGTCATCAGCATTTCGGATTGACCAGCAAAGGCAACTAAAAGCTGCCGGTATTCGCACCCAAAATCAAGGAACATCAAGGAACAACAATTTAAACATTGAATTTGACGTGATGACTTTGGAATTATATAATGACTTATAAGGATAAACAAAACTTACTCCCTTGTCACATGTCAACTGGGTTTGGATGCATTGCAGTGTGACTGTGCCGATTGTAGTGGCCTGTTTACATAATCTTGCATCTTGAATCTGTGCTGTATTGTGCTGCATCAAGTGAGGTTTCACCTGCCACTTACTCGAGGTTGACAGTGTACATATTTTGCCAGCTGCCAAACAAACAACAACCATCACAACTCATATGTCATGTGGCACTGGTTGCACAGGAGTCAATGAAGGTGTATGAAGGCATCCTTTCTTAGCTGATGTGTGAGGGCATGTCTGATTTTCACCTTCTTTGGAGGGTTACTGTAAGTCCTGTCACGTGCGTGACATGTTTTTGCCAACTTTCAGGTTCTACATGACAGCGAACCTAGCACAACTCTCAAGACACTAGCAGCCCTAACTCAAAATGACACTAGCTGGTACTTTAACCATGTCATAACCCCTTTGGCTAGGTCAAAAGCGAACCCTCTAAAGCGCCAGACTTAGGTGGACCCCCGGGAGGCGACGATCTGGGGAAAAAGGCCGACCCTAAGGCCCTAAGACTTCTGGATGGAAAAGGCGAGTGAAATTCCCATAGATTTCTGTCCTCCTTCCCCGCCGAGATCTCGGCCCGCCGAGATCTCGGCCCGGTCGGCCTTGCGGATAATGGCCAGGGAAGCCATGAAGAATGGGAACACCACGGAGGTCGCCTGGAAGGACAAGAGCGGAAAACACCCCAAATGCGCCCTTTTCTCCTATTTGTTCAAGAGCGCTCAGAGCGCGATGTGGAGGTCGAGGGGACTTCCCACCGCAGCCACTGGGACTTTCCACCGTGGCCGCTGCGACGGCTCAGAGCGCCGTTCAGCAGCGATGCGCTCCTTGATCTCCTTGAGGCCATAGAGGATTGCCAAGCAAATGAGCTGCACAAAGGTGTAGAGGTGCACCTTTGCTTTGTGTCTTGAAGTGAAGTTATGGACTACCCTTAGGCCTAGCATGACCAAGCTAACAAGAATATAGAAACGGTTCAAAAGGATCCCAAGGGGGGTGAATCGTGTTCCAAGTTGGAGGGACACAACTCTCCCACACCCCGCACGGTGCTGAGAAGGACACCGATTCCAGCTCATCTTTGCCGAAGCAAAATCGAAGTCTCAAACTCTAAGTGGGGGAGGCACCCGACCTGTGGTTCCCCCCAAAAGATGTGGAACATTGTGGAACCATGAAGCAGGTTCAATACAAACTCTTTGTCTGGATGACCCTACCCTCCTTGTTCATCTTGGACACCCCACATCGTGCCACATAAAAATATGATCCAAGTACGTGGTGGTGGGTCTAGGTACGTCATTCTTACCCGGAACGCAGATCCCGTTTCGCACAGCGAGATGCCCGCTTGACGGGCAATTTTTGGATGTAGATGTAGGCCGGGTAGTTCCTGAAAACATGGTCAAAACTTCCGAAGGCTTTCATGGTGGCAGGACAATGTTAAATCTTGGCGCCACTTGTTCATCTTCAGATGTTACCGAACTCCACCAATGCATTGCCGGCAAAGACCAAAAGGCAATTGAAATCACCAGACAACCGGCAATCCCAATACAGCCACATAGATGGGATCCCATGGGCCTTGAGACCAGGAATCCACATCTGGTTACTGTGCGGAGTGGAATTCAATTGGGCGGGCTGCTATCCCTAGCATGACAACAAGATGCCACCTTTGTAGGGAAACATGGCTCTTCAACATTGTTGGATAGAGCCAAGCTCGAGGTCTTTCTCATGCGCGTTGAGAGGATCATTGTCATGATCAAGAAAAAAAACATGTTGGATAGAGGAAACACTGCGCCGCGTGCGTCAACTTGTTGAGCCAAGCGAGTTCGATCTGACCGTCATGCGATTTAGATGCTGTTGTGCTTGCCGAAAGCATCTGGGAACTTCAGTCTTCGCTTCATCACACAAGGAGTCTGGGTTTCAGTGAAGTGTCTAGAGATGACTGGTGATGGCTTCTCCTTGTGTTTGGGACATTTTGGTGACTTGAGGAGTGGAATTCATGGCTCCAAAACAGATTTAAAGTGACAAATTCCTCCAAACATCTGCGTATCTCAACATGAGGGGAACCATCGATCATCTATCAAACATCCTCATTGAAACCTGGGGACACACCACCCATTGGCGGGCAGCAATTGTGCATTGGTTTGTTCGAAGAAAAAAGGAAGCTAAATCAAGAGATGTCCACAAAAGTGCATGGACAATGGATACCGCTCCAAAAGTAACACCAATTATTCTCTTGCCAAAGGGTCTGGATTGGAACCCTTCAGCTTCGAACAATTCCTGTCTGTCTCAAAAATCGCCAATGGCGCGTCTCACGACAATAACATTACTAGCGCTGGGGTTTAGTCACCCGGGTTTGCAGAAAGTCACCCGACCGCATGGAAACGCAGCATTAGTCAAAAGTCACCCGGCTGGCGAAAAGTCACCCGTTTTATGTTAAAACACAATGTAAACGTTCTACGGAAGTATGTTTGTCAAAACTGCTATACATCAAGAATTCACTGCCCCTGTGCCGCGCGAGTCGAGGTCACCTACCCACGTCGATTATCTTCAAATCACTTTTTGGTCACCTTCCCTCTAACCTGCATGTAAACACAGCATCCAAACAATGTTGTTGACCAGACACTCTTCCAGTTGTATTGCCATCTTGCATCTAACCCAATTGTAAACGCAGCATCCAGACGACTTTCTACAAGACCAGACGACTTAACACAAGTGCTTGTATCATGGTCAACTTGTGTGCGTCCAAGTTGCTTCGGTTCCCAAACCAACCAGAGGAACAATCGATCAAACAGGTTGTTGCCTGCGCTGCGAGGAGTGAGTCAGTGCCTCCATCGCCATGTGATCAAGCAGGCAAGCCTCCCTTGTGCATGGCTTCAATCAAGAGAAGGAACTAACAATTCGACAAGTCAAACCAAGCTACAACAAGTCAAGCCCACACGTTGAATGATACAGGTGTTGAGAGTCATTTTCCTAGAGACCCTCCATACTCCATACTGTTACTAACCCTAGGGCTCCAAGTACCTTCTAAGAAGGTGTCTGGGGTGGGTTTAGAGGGTCCAAATACCTTCTGAGGAGGTACTCGGAGCCCTAGGGTAAAAGATTGTTCCAACATTTTTGTTGCCTTGCCCACGGAGCAAGACTACGTCGTAGACATCACATAAGGGGACCAACATTCACCAAGGGACAGTCTAAGCATGTTATCATGACCAACTCAAGCCAGTCTTTCTGATTCATACCGGTCTTCAGTATGCT